TGATACCCATCAGCCCCATATGCAGGCCCTCCACCCCTTCAATCAGAACAGAGCCTCGTTGTTTACACCCATCTTTGTTCTGCTACATCTCAAGTCTTTCTCCTCCTCCTTATGCTCAGTGTTTAGCCTCCGGCCGTGTGGGATGTTCTTGCTCTCATTCTTGTGTTTTTTTTTTTTTTTTTGGGTCCACTGTCATGTGCATAAACTAGTGGTTTTGAAACTGCCCCAGTGGCTTCCCTGCTGAGGGCAGAATTACACTTTTTACTTATAATGAAAAATGAAACTAATATTATATATCAGTGTTATTTTCTAATAGCGTTATAGCTTTTATAAGTATTTTAAATTTAGATTTTATTTTCATATTTTCTTTTTTCAATTTCAGTTTCATTTTCAATTTTATTTATTTATTTTTTTGTTATGGCATAGTTTTTTTCTTCTATTTAGCCTTCATTTATTTTCATTCCTTTTTCTTTTCTTTTTTTGTTGTTGTTGTAGTAGTGTTATTACTTCAACTTAAAATATTAGAAGACAATATTAACTGAAATAAATAAGTTTATTTTAGCATTTTAATTAGCAAAAAATGTTTTTACCAGTTATAGATTTAGTTAACAATAACAACACTGGTCTGCTATCACCCAGAAATGAAAAAAAAAAAACATCTATTACTTATAACCATATAAATATGACACATATCAGAAAAGTAACAGTCAATGAGTCAATGTGGAATACATGAAAAATTTTCATTTCAAAATAAAAATAAGAACATGAAAAGGGGGGGAAAAAAGTTTACAGTACTAATGCAGTACTTTGTTATATATAAAATATTATAACATATATATAGAGATGTATATTTCAGGATATTTTTCATCAGAGAAATGTTTAATTACAGTTCATGTATGATATTTATAACATATAATACATATTACATAAATTACATATTACATAAATCTTTCTTTTTTTGACTAATCTTTAGTAAATAATTTACATAGTTATATTGGCAATTCTCCAACATATTTTACATATTTATTAAGTTCTGCCATGTGAAAAAAATAATTTAAACATTTTAGCATTGAAAACTGCCTGTCACTTTTCTCAATCATATGCAGAATAGGATGGGCTTTTTCTATAAAAAAATAATCATATACCATTTGCTAGATTTATGACATGACACGGCTTACCCCACTCCCCCAACATCAAGCCATCATCTTGATGTAGAACATGCAGAAAGCCGTGTAAGATGGGAGAGAGAGAGGGGTTGAAAGAAAGATGTAGAAAGAGTTGGAAGATGCCGGAAAGGGCTCGCTTCAAAGAACCACATCACTGGAGGTTATAGGAATGAAGTAAACAGTGTTCGTAGCTCTTAGATCTGCAGTAACCACAGCACCCAGAGGCTTGATATCCAGCTCTCTTGGGAGCGTTTCAAAGCCCTGTTTTGAGCTCGTCATGGAAGCTTAGATTTCTTTCTGCTTGTCACTCACTTTAATTCCCTCCTCTCCTGGCCTTCTTGTTATTGATTGCGTTCACAAATTAACAACACTCTAGTTTATTGTGGCCCACTTTCAGCTACTTCCTCTCAAATTGTCTCCCTCGTACAATGGCTGTTCTAAACAACTGTGGATTTGCTGAACGTCCGATGAACTCATTCACATTGGGTTTGTTGTGTCTCTTGACTCTCCAAAGAGTCAAAACCAAATGCGGTCCAGTCTGGCAGAGCATTTCGCCAGTATCCATGCTTTTCAGCTCAAACCAGATCCAGGATCGGGAGCTTGGGATCAGATGGTGGGGGTAGGTTGAATCACATCCGCATGTTCTCATTTCTTTAATAGACTTTCAAGGTCTTTTTTATTGGGCCTGTTTGTTGGCATATGTTGTTTGATGCTACCATGCTTTTGGCTGTCTTTTATGCTTTCCCCAGCCAGGAAGGATGGACACCTGCTGCTCTTTCCGGTTCTTTCATAAACTTTTGTGATTCCTCGCTCTCACACCCAAAACAGTACAGAAGAATCCACCCGCTGGGAAAAACGACTGCTTTAAGGGACATCTGTTACCAAACCCTCCACTTTGGCTGCGTCTTGTCTTAGACATTTGGCTGAGGTCATCCTGGATTATTTTAAATAATGCCTTACTGTGACCTAAACTCCTCACCCTAATGAACTGCTGAAACCGCTTGAGTCCTGGGACAGTGCAGCGACACTGCGAACACATTTTTCAGTCCCATTCCTTCCAAAAAGAAGCCGCCGATGGGAACAAACAGGTTTGTGTTGAATTAGGACACCCTGGGTCGATTATTCGTGTGAGTGTGAGCATGTCAGACAGCTGCAAGTCATTCTGCCCCAACTGTGCGAGCTGAGCTTTTGTTCTTCGGGCTCGTCCTGCTCATCTCCTAATTGGATGTATGAGCTGCGGAGAGCTGGACAGATTTCCCAGCGAGCCTCACCCGAACTAGGCCGGTCCCTACGGTACAGCATGTGGCTTTGATTTGTGGCTTCCCTGAGGTGTCTCCTTCTATCATCTGTGTGGTTTTGGCACCAAAAGCATTACCGTAATGAGATATTGACCGAGCAAAAAGGATTACTGTCGCTTTAAATCAAACCAAAGTGATTGCGGTCTGCCTGCGAGAGGAAAGTGGAAGCTAAATATGGTCAAAATAAGATAGAAGAGAGAGCCTTTATACCACATGCTGTGATCTGTACCCCCGTCACCCTCCTCGTGTCCTGAACTTCCTGTAATTGCTGACCTTGGTTACAGAAAAATCCTGCTGATTCAACAGATGCATCTGGTTATCGACATTGCCTCTTGTTGCAGGAATTTGTGGTGTGGGATTCCAGATGAAAATGATGAAAATGGTGTCTGGGATTGTGTGCATCAGGCCTCTTGTCTTGATATTGAAAGTTGATGCATGTAGTTGGAAGGAATTTTAGAGACAAAATTATCAGTCTTATAATTACATCTTGAAGATTTTATTATTGATCCTGTGTCAATTATGCCCAATTACAGCCTGCAGAATGCAAATAAGTAAATAATAATAAAGGAAAAAGTATAGCTTAAATCAAAGTAGCTTTGGATAAAAGTGTGTGCGTGTGTGTATATATTTTTGATAAGTGTCTATCAAATGCTTATATATGTGTGCATTTGACAGACAGTTTTATCAAAAATCAAGCATGCATAAATATATATTATAAATGCATAAATAAATCCAAAATAAAATATAATGGTTAATAAAAAATGGCATGTTGCTATTGTTGCAAATGCCAAAGATTTTATTTGGGTCATTTTTTTCCCAATAATATCCCAGATAATGATTAATGCCCTGATTGTTTTAAAAAGGGAAAAAGTATACCTTGAAAAAATACACAAAATAATGTTATTTTTAGCAGCATCATATGACCCCTTTAAAGGCATCTGCCAAATACATTAAAACAAATGTAAAATGTAAATTTAAAATCAATTTTAAAAAATCCTTCACAGTCAGGTTTTCCATGTTAACATCTTTGCAAACTGATTATAACTTTATTTCTTACATTATCTTTGTAACGTCTTGGCTTTTATCACAAGATGCTCTGAGTTTTTAAGAACAAAGTGTTATGAACAAATTAATTCTTTATCAGTTATACATTCCTCAGGTATAATGTACATTTCTGTAGCTTTAAAATGAATGATGCCAAGGTCAAGGGTTCAAATTACCAGCAAATGCTTGGAAAAAAAGAATCCTATGAAAGGAAGTTGCTTTAGATTAAAAAAAAAAAAAAGCATGCTAAAAATGTCTGCCAAATGCATAAATGTAAAATTAAAATGTTAAGTTACCGTCACGGTCAGTTTTGCATGCAAGCATCTTCATAAACCGCTTACAAGCTCTTGATCTTTCTCTCAGGATTGTCTGCAGCAGAGCGACAGATGCATCTGGTTATCTGTGTACCTTCGCATTGCCTCTTTTAGCAGGAATTTGTGGTGTGGGATTCCAGATGAAAATGTTCGCTGTGATCATCGGCGTCTGGGATTGTGTGCATCAGGCCTCCGTCTTCATATTGAAGGCTGATGCTTTTAGCTGGAAGGCAGTTTCTCAGCATGGAGGCCATTACCACTGTAGAGCTCCATTTGTATGAATGGCAGTTTGTGTGTATGTGTGTGTAGCGTCTGTTTGCTCGGTTGTGTGCGTCAGAGTGCATGTTTGTAGAGGTCTGTACTAAGTGCTTCAGGCCTGCCAAACGAGTAAGGACTTTTGTAGCCGATTTTGAAATGTGGGGGGAAAATGAAATGTGAATGTTCCTTGAAATGGAGCAGCGTAATGAACTCAAGACTGCTCCCATATTCAGTACTGCTCTGGCGTTTCTCCACGTATCCCACAATGCCTATTCATTTGAGTCCCTAACCATTGCGTTCTTTCGCTCTCTAGCACACTTTCAATCAGATTTTTCTCTCTCTTGGTTTCCATCATTTTCCCTCTGTTTTTCCAATTCCTGATACAATTAATTGCAGACGTTGATGATAACTAGGTTTTGACCTTGACTCTCTCAAGAGTGGATACTTGAAGTAGTGTGATTTCACTCTTGACGGTCGAGTCATAGATCTGCGCTGAGTCATCATGGGAGCAGACTGTAGATGAGTCACATCGATGAAATGGACAGCTTGGGTTGCCCTCACTTACTGCAGTCCAAGAATTCCTAATGTTTATACCTCACATGCTGTGAACTGACTGCAGCTTGCTTTCTCAGAGCTACCTGCTGCTACACTTGTTAGTTATTAGCGGTCAGTTTCAATGTTCTAATAAGGACTGCGTACTTACTGTTTACAATCTTTGAACAGCTTATCAAAGTAGATTTTACAGTCAGAAATTGTGTTTTATAAGAAAGTTTCAGTTAAAAGGCAGTTAAATCTAGGTATTAAACTGGTCCTGTGTTCCTGAACTTCTACAAAAAAATCTGTATTGATAAAGACCTTCATAGGCAAGTTTAGTGTCTTGTTGCATGTTTACTAAAGCACTAAAATATTTTTTTCGCTAGGATTCTCTGCGGCAGAAGGACGAGCGCATCGAGGAGCTGGAGGAGGCCTTGCGTGAGAGCGTACAGATCACGGCCGAGAGAGAAATGGTGTTGGCACAAGAGGAATCTGCCCGTGCAAATGCAGAGAAACAGGTGAGATGATGCTCAAAGATCATTAATATGCACTTACTCTCTCTTTCAGACTCTACGTATTGTTCACTAGCCATTTTTTTTTACCTTCGGATCAGTTTTATTTAATGCCTTGTCCTTTGAGTTCAGAGAGAAGTAGTTTATTAAGTAGAGTATTTTTTTTATTTTATTATTATTTTATTTTTATTATTTTATTTAATTATCTTTTTATTTATTTTACCTTTATTTTATCATATTTATTTTCATTTTATTTTATCTTTTGAATTGTTTTGGTTTTGGTTTGGTTTGGTTTCTTAATCTCAATTTCATGAGATGTCTGTCAACATTATCAATCCAGTTGACAAAAAGATTTAGCTTGGGGCAGCCAGCATTGGCAGTATTGAGACTTCTACTATCATAGTCTACATCCAGATAACTTTTGAAGTATGATAAACTGTCATGTTTACTGGAAATGTTCCTAGCAATGTTTCTAAAGAGGTCCTGTGTACCTGTGATGTGTTACCCGAAGCAAAATGTGTGCGGTAAATTCAGTGTGATGCTAGCCAAACCCTACAGCCATCTTTTCATTGTGGAAATGTCCACTTCCTCATCCTCCTGGTCAAACATCCTTCCCAGTGTTTACACAGAGCTGTATGCACATCCACGCAAGGCTAGCATCTCTCAGGCCGGGCTGTAATGGCTTTTCCTTGGCGGACAGTATCGCTCCCATTAAAAAGCCTCCTTCACAGAGCTCAGGAACCAGCAAAAAGCCAGCCTGTCACAGCACATCACCACACCAGCACATAGAGCTATGCCAACCATCCAGATCCATGCCAGCGCTGCCTCGCCTTGCCAGTGGCCAACATTCATGTGGCATGCATGGGTTACGTGTTTGTGTCTGCAGTCAGTCTTCATTTAGAATATAAATAAGCTTTGCGTGTCCTGCGTGAGGACTGCTAACTTTGGTCCGATTCAGTTCAGCCACATAGAACGTGCATACACACATGAGGAACGTCTGGTGTGTGCACAGAACATGCTGGCGTTTCTTTCTCCTAAGCAGGAGTTCAACTGGGATTTTAAAGGTAGAGGAACAAAATATTGGGTAAATACTGTATATAGACTCTACCTGGGTCTACTTAAAGGAATTGTTCATCTAAAAAGGAAAGCTCTGTAATTATTTACTCACCCTTATGTTGTTCCAAACCCATAAGACTTTGAAGCACAAATTATTAGATATTTTTAGTGAAACCTGAGTGGCTTCGTTCCCTCCATTGAAAGCCCAGGTAACTGAAACTTAGAAGATCCAGAAAGTTCATATAGGTGTCGTTAAATAATTCCATATGAAACATCTTTTGAAAGGTATAAATGCTTTATATGATGAAAAGATTTAAATTATTCACATATAAACACAAATACGTAGAACATATCATGTATGGATCTCCTTTTTGGATCTTCTAAATTTGGATCTAAATGATAACCTGGATTTTCAGTGGATGGACAGAAACCTCCCAGGTTTCATTAAACATATTCTCATTTCAAAGTGTTTTAAAGATTAACCAAAGTCTCATGGGTTTGGAACGACATGAAGGTGAGTAAATGATCACAGAATTTTCCTTTTTTGTGGCGAATTATCCATTTAATGCAACTCAACGGTCTAAATGGAGACCGAATGTGCGTCCTGATGTAGAACATGCTGGAAATGGATTGAATTTACAAATAAACTGCCAATAATTTGTTATTATATTATTCAATGTTGCTGGAATGCCATACTCCAGTCGTTCTGGCCCAGTCTAACCTGTTTTTAAGGCTTCGATGCAGATTGCACCACTGTCCAGCTGTCTGTTGAGCCTTGGCGATAGCATCAAACTCCTATAACCTTCTCCAAATGAGTCCTCCATGAACCGGACAACACCAGCAGCCAGTCAGGCTTTGAAACAGAGCGCAAAGCAGCTGCCAAAATCTTGCTTCCCCTCTACCTGAATCCCTGAACTTTTCCCTCTCCTTTCTCCCTCTGTGTCCATCTTACTTGGCTTCATCGACTCCCTGCTTCATTTTTAAACCCTTAATGGTTTGTTCTACCTTCTGTGGATCCCGGCGCCCCGCCGTTTCCTTCCTTTTCGCTCTCTCTCCGTTTTCTAAAGATTCGCATGGCTGGCTGAGCATCGTCCCAGTGCACGATGCAGTCTCGGGAACATATCGTGGCCTAGAGTTTCTTCACCGCCAGGCGGACCTCCGCTCCAATCCCCCGGAGGTTAATTAGAGCTGGGGGCTGCGACGGGAGCCAGCGCTGCTGCTAAGCCTGGCCGGCCCCCTCATTTGGGCTCAGAGAGAAGAGGAAATGGGGACAGTACAAGTGCCACCCTCCGGAGCCAGTCTCCACGCTCATTACCAATGTCCCAGCCGCATCAAGTCTCGCTACGCACACTCAGGATATCGTTGTTGGAAGTTCCTCCCCACCCTGGCACCTGTTATATAAGAATGAACTCATATTCCGGGTTACATATTTTGGGAGTTATGAGCTATGAAAAAAAAAAAAAAAGAATGGCGTCTTGCCTCACTGGCAATTGGCAGACAGGTTTTTAAATGCGTAATTTGTGGTCCTGCATTAAACCATGCATAATCTAATTAGCTTCACACAGACGCACATGGTTTTCCTTACGCACACACAGAGTCTCTCCTCCGCTATTTAATTAACATCCCTCCGTTGCTTCACCACACCCTCTGTTGTGCCAATCATAAGCAAGCATTCGTCTTTAGCTCTGTGTTCAATTTCCTCCAATAGCCGCTATCCTCATTGTTCTCATTGTGCAGAGCACATGTTGGACCGAGTGCGGTGCCTGTACAGATTGCTGTCAGTATGTTGTTCTTAAATGTATGGGGACGAGGGCGACTGCTCTTTGTTACACTGACATGAAAGCAAACCTGTGGCCAAAAAACAGTCCGTTCTCTCTTGTGCGTCTGTACGTCTTGTGCGTCTCACTTAAAAGCTCTGTCTGTGTGTGTGTGTGTGTGTGTGTGTGTGTGTGTGTGTGCGCACTTGTTTAATTAGAGCACATGGAAGAGCTACAAGTTGTTTGCTCCATTCATGCAGGTAATAAAATTTGGAAATATGAATCCAAACATGTGTTCCTGTGACTTCTCATATGTACCAGATGAAGTCTGAAAGATTTCTGACAATTACACAGGTCACTGTGAACATAGTCTGCTAGAATGCTACCATTATTCAGTCTTTCCTAAAGGGATAGATGACTGCAAATGGAATTCTGTCATTATTTACCAGTTCTAAACCCATGTGCAATTTTGGGTTTTACAATAAACGTTTAACAATAAGGTTAAATTTGTCAAGATTCTTAATGCATTAGGTATCATGAAAGAACAATATAACATTTCTTTAATTTTACAGCATTTAGTAATTTTGGTTAATGTTAATTTATAAATACATGAATATATTTAATTTAAACATTAGTTACATATAAATATATTAATATATAAATTATTGTAATTATGAATATATTAATATAACTTATATTAAGTGATAAATGTCTTAATAATTTTTTTGTCTTTTAGTTATTAATCTTTGTTAATGTTTATTCATAAATGTATTTATTTTTTATTAATTTGTAATTTCTCATCTCTCAACAGGCATGACTTATACATCAAATTATTGAATAAATACAAAGGAAAGCAATGACATGACAATTGCATGTATGTTTTTGATATTTCAAGTTATATGTGCTGTCATGAAGTAACAATTAATAATAGTATTTTGTAACATACTAAATACTGTAGAATAGTCGTTCATTGTTAATTGATGATACCCAATTCTTTAATGTTAACGAATTAGATCTTATTGTAAATTGTTGCTGCAGTGTTCATGGTCTGTATGGTCTTTTAAAGCCATATAATAGCTTTGTGTGGCAGACAGCCTTACATTTAAGTTTATGTACCACTAAAATTGCTTATATGCACCAGGTTTGAAGTAATTTACGCAAATCAGTGTGGGTTCTTGCGTGTCTTGATATATAAACTTGTGGCATATTTGATTTGAGAGCTGCGGCGGAGAAGAATGAATAATGACAAATAAATCAAATGATCCTTTTGTGTTTCACATAAGAAAGAAATTGGAAGATTTGGATCAACATGAGTAAAGGATGACACATTTTTCATTTTTGGGCAAATTACTTTTTTTCAAGACTTCCCTGGTTTTAATTTTTCTCTCCATCTTACTCCATCTTCCTTGCAGAATTGATATTTCAGGAGTGTCAAAACAATGTTTTCCCAGTCGGTTCGATGTGCTTGTTTAGCGGATGAGCCTGTCTTATTTTAGGTGATGCTTTTATGAATGTTAGCATCCTGCCAAACCCCCGTTGCAGCAACTGCTTTAATGAGTCGTGTGCTAGTAAGGGCAAATGTGGTCAGTGAGAGAAAAAGGGGGGTATTTTCTTCCTACACAGGACCTTCGGTGTGCAGTGACACCAGTCACTCAGCTCCAGCGTGGAATTTACGGCCAGGATGTACGAAAGCGACCAGCCACTCATGCGGGGCCAGTGAAAACGTTTGCCCAAGACCACATGAAAACATACGTCCAGTCTCCAGACATGATTCAGCAGCGAAATGACATACTTCATAACCTTCCCTGGAGGCAGTGGACCAAAGAAAGCCTCAATCTCTCCGCTCGTGTTGACCGGGGATGATGGGATGTCTCGAAACCGCCCTTGCTCTTTCACCACAAGATTTTCCCCGTTGTCCTGACCCAATCCCGAATGGATCTCTTTTCCACTCCGAACCTGTTCTCGCTCAGTTGGATCCATGGTTACCATCTTCTTTCTCTTTCTCTAGCCCCTCTTCCTCTGCTTCCAATTTCCTTTTGCGTGGTTTGTTTCAAACTGTTGTTCTGTTTTGCTCTGTTCTGTCTCTGTTGCCTCTTTGGCTTTTTCTGTAATCCCTCTTTTTCTCTATTTCTTCTCCATCCCTCACTGCCTGTGCGAAGCGCTCTCATGACCTAATGCATGACTCCGGCCACGCTGGCTTAAAGTGGCTCAAGGTACGGCACGATTAATGTTTTCTCGTTCTTTTACAAGGAATGATTTGAGTTTTGTGCTATTCATCAGTTTCGCTGCATCTCAGTGACCTTTTTTTCTCATTTGGATGGGGGTGTTCGACAAATGTGGCTTTTGGTCCCGATCCAAACCAAACTTTTCCAAATAGGAAGCTTAACCACTGACAGAGTGCAATTTATTGACTGTTCCCTGAAGATGAGCTCTATCAGATCATTATTTTATGTGGAAGACATCTCGTATGCGTTCCCCCCGCTTTCTTTCCATTATATTGGGAAGTCATGCTCATTTGCATCCGACTATAAGGATAAGTTATATTTTGATTTAACTTTTATGTAGTGCGTCCAGCGCAATTCAGTTTCTGCACTGGGAGAAGTTGAGTTTCCCCATTGCATGTAACTCTAAGTACATGTTATATAAACGTGCAGTCAGTAGTTATGCTGATAGAAAAGATGTAGTTCACCCAAAAATCAATGCTCTGTCATCATTTATTTGTTTTAAACCAATTTGACTTTCTTTCTTTTGTAAAACACAAAAGGAGATGTTTAGCAGAATGTCCGAGCTGCTCTTTTCCAGTACAATAGAAGTGAATGAGGATAGGTAATGTCAAGCCCTAAAAACCACCAAAAAAGTGGTCTATGAAACTTATTTGCTGTATATATAGTCTTCTGAAATTATGATAGCTTTGTGTGAGAGAAAAAAAGATGATTTAAGTCTATTCCACCATCGAAATGGTGACAGAATTGATTTTTGAGTGAATTTTTCTCAAAAAAAGTGTAAATTTAGATACATTCGGACTCACTCTTTGCCTGAACCGATCAAGACACGCTGTCCTCACTCCATACTGCAGGGGGCAGCGTGACGGCAGAGCCTGAGGTCTCAGAGAGGCCCAGGCCAAAAACAGACATGGAAATTAGTCAAAGAATAAATAGCTCTTACAGCTGCCACTGCTCTTTCTCAAGTTTGTATTCAAGCCATGGTCAGAAACAGCCTGGATTTTTATGATAAAACTTTAGAGGGAAATAAAACTCCCTCCTCTGCTAATATTCCCAACCAGCTGAGATCCAGACACAAAGCTCAGCACCCAAAACACAGCAAGATCCAAAGACCAGCTTGTTGAAATTGGCTTTCTGCTCACCATTGAGGACGGGGCTGCTCTTTTGGCAGCCGGGGAGGAGAGAGTAGGAAGAGACGGATGAGGAGAAGGGGAGACAGAGCAGGAGAAAAACGGCACGCTGCTGCATTAAGCAGTTTTTATTAGTGTTATGTTTCTGCTCCGAGCATCTGGGTTAGTCTGGATATCTCTCACCGGAGGTGATTAGAAGCTTCTGAGTTCGGCACGGGCTGAAGAGAAGGCCCTGATCTAACGCCCACCGTGATCTCATCACCTCAAAGTGCACATCAATATCAAACCAATATGAGGTCTTCCACTTACAAAAGTAGCACCATGGTGTATCATGTTTTTAGAACTTGACAATATCTTGTATCTTTTTCTAATATCTTTTTTTGGGGGTGTATTAATTGAAGTTCTATGCAAATACCATGGTATGTAAATATGACTATCAGTCAGTACCATGATTTATGCTAAAGTACTATAGTATTACCAGTACATGGTGAGGATGGATAAAAAATAACGTAGAAATTATGTTTTGTTTATTTATTTATATATATTTTTTGGACATGGTACAGTATAGTAATACATTATTTTGTGTTTTTATATTTTTGTTTTACTTATATTTTGTTTAAAAAGATACACGGTTAACTTAACTGTATTTTATTTGATTTTATTATTTTTTTAGCCTTCCCCAGGTATTGCAGATTATCTTGAGCCATTTATTTAGACAATACCCTTATATCCTTTGAAACATCTTGAAATACCAATAATTGGTAAATGAGTAATTATTCAGTACCATGGTTTTTAAGTATCAAGGTGTTACCATCATATGTACTGTACATGGTACAGTCAGTACTGTGTACTTTTAGATTTCATTTTCATTATTTTTATGCAGATTTTATTATTTTCTGCAGGCATTTTAACATAATATTCCCATATTCTCTTATTCTTTTATATGGTTAAATACACATTTTCAGCCATTTAGAGCACCACTTTTTTGTTTTTCTGAACAGGCATTGCCGTTCTTTTGTTTTTTTTTTCCATTTTTTCTGATATTTCTTTTTGGTGCATTGCATTTACCTATTTCTGTTTTTCTTTCTCTCTCATCCCGCTCTCTTGTAGCTCAAAGAGGCAAGTATACAGCGTTCAGCTTCATTCTTTGCTTATTTCCACGTGCCTTCCCTCATCAGAAGAGGCATCTGTTCCAGCCCCTCTGACCCTGCTTCAGTCTTTCATTTTTCCCCCTTTTCCTGTTCTTTTTATCACTCTTCTCCTTGATCACAGACAGATCCTCTTCCTTTCCCCAAGGCCTGTTTCTGACACCGGTTTTGAGCTGTTCGGCCTTAAATTAAACAAAAAAGGAGAAAATCACTGTTATCAATTCCATAGACGGTACGTCACAACTGATGTGAGCAATTACTCCAAGTCGTAAAAACACTTGCAGAGGCTGAAGCTGGGCTGTGAAGATCAGTTAAAGGACATGCATCTCAAACACTTTGATCTGTACTCCTCCTGCCTTACTGGTTCACGTTCCCAGTGTGAGACAGGAAGTGGTGTTATCGTCACCCAGTGAAGTGCTCAATTTTTCACACCTGAGGTGTCATAATTCACTGCAGCATTTTTTTACGACTTGACTAACATCTGAGGTTAGTTTGTACTCCCTTGAGAAAACAAGCGCTGCATGCCACCTTGCTCTTTCATACACACACACGCACACACACACCATCCATTCCTCCATCAGTCTCAGAGAAGGCAATGGCACGAGCAAGTCTGCTGAAAGCAGTGTTTGCATTATTTTTAATCTTTCTGCTTTTCTTTCAGAGAATTCTCAGCAAGCTCTAGTGATGGGACGTGAAAGGAATTTCCAGGTCTGATTCGACTAAATAGTTCCGGTTACTTAGTCCCATT